TCTGAAAACCAGGTCTATGTAAGTGAAACTACTTCGGCTAGGCAACCCTCCTCGTACACTCTCAACCACTGATATGCCGTTCCGAACAACTGAAAGGTAGTAAAAGCAACCCCACTCATCTCCATAATACCCATAGTGCGGAGAATATGGTGGCACTCCTCAAGAAAAACTTGTGCATCCTCTGAAGCCAAACCACTGAAAGTATGAGGGTAATACAACCTCTCGAACCTAAGTCGCTCCTCTTCAGATGCTACTGCCCTAACCATGGGCTGAACCGGAGTAACATGTTGTACCGCTATATCCTCAGGGACCTGATCAACCTGGACCCGCTGCTCTAGGGTACGGGCAGTGGGAGTCTGTGCTCCCCCCCCCCCCCCCCAGTTTGAGATGTGGTTGATGCTAGTGAAATCAACCCTGCCTGAGCTAAGGTACCAAACATGCTCAAGAATTGTGCGAGGGTCTCCTGAAGTGCTGGGGTGGCAACTAGCGCCTCGGGTGCCTGTCCCCCTACTGGAGCTACTGGTGGCTCCTCTATCGCAGCTCGAGTGGGTGATATAGCTGCACCACGTGCCCCTCCTCGGCCTCGGCCTCTGCCTCAGCCCGTATCCCGTCCTATCTCGGCTCTAGTAGGGGGCGCGGGTGTCTGATCGTCGAATCCAGCAGTACGTATCCTCACTATCTGTGAGAGAATAAAAAGTCAAAGATTCAGTTTTTGAATTCAACCAATTCGCTCGATAAGGAATCAAAGAAGTTGAAGTTTTTATAACAGTTCCATAGTTTCAAGAAGATAAGTACAGACGTCTCTATACCGATCTGCAAGACTCTACTAAACTCGATGATGATTCTAACACCTATGAACCTAGAGCTCTGATACCAACTTTTCACGACCCCAATTTTCCTCTGTAGGATGTCGTGATGGCACCTAGTATCTATGACTAGGTAAGCCTAGCAAATATACTTGACAGAAATAATTATCAAAATGCTAAAAACAAAGTTGAATAACTTATATAACATTCCGATACAAAACACAATCTCAACAATACGCTCCACAAAACTGGTGGAACTGAGTCATAAGCTCTACAGATTATAACTAGAGTAACTACTACATCCCTGTCCGAAAGAAAATACAACAGTAAATGAGAATAAATAAAGGTGACTCTGAGGCCTACGGACGTCGGGCGGGCATACCTTAAAGTCTCTGATAAAAGCAACTAACAGGTAATCTCAAATGACCGGCACGAGTAGACGTACTTGGATCTGCACAAAAATGTGCAGAAGTATAATATGAGTACACCACAACGGTACCCAGTAAGTATCAAGCCTAACCTCAGTAGAGTAGTGACGAGGACAGGTCAAGACACCTACTAGGATATAAATAAGCAGTATGGAAATGTAATAAGGACAAATAATGGAAAGCAAGATATAACTTATATGAACAAGATAAAAACCCGAACAAATATCGGAAACTAAACATGGGAGTACATAAAAGAAGTAACTGAAGAGAACCCAACTGATCATATACGGACAACAACTGCTAGAACAAATAAGAATGAAACAACAAGAATGTTCCCACCAAACTCTTTGCAACATGAAATAAACGGCAAGAATCACAACGAGGTACCACCTCATGTATAATGAAATCACAACTGAGGTACCGCCTCGTACAATCAAGAATCACAACCGAGGTACTGCCTCGTATTCACACTATTGAATTTCAATCACAATCTTTCCTTATATCGTCGCGTGAGACTTACATTTGAAATAGGTTTTGAAAACAGCTTTTCCGAAATAGCTACACACACTTTAGCCCAACTTATGACACCGCGTGACTTCACGTAGTTTCCCTACAAGCAACACGCACATAAGTCCCACCTTATACCGCCGCATGCACATCAACCCCAAGCCTTATACCGCCGCATGCACGTCAATAACACATTACAATAACAATTCACACGACATGTGCCCATATATCACAATTTCCCAATAATCCACAATATAAATGTTTCGACAACAATAGCCCACGGCTCCACCACAACGGGTACAAGAATATCAACAACAACAATGAATATAAGATGCTCAAAAGGAAGATGTTTAAACAATAACAATTTTGCCTTAACGTGATAACGGATTTCACCACTTCAACACCAACAAATCAATAATGAGAGACGATGCATAACAAAAATGTTAAATAAGAATAAATCACAATGGAAGAGATAACATGAACAATAACTTCAAGTAGTAGTAATAAATAATGAAAGAGGTAACATGAACAACAACTTCAATTAATGATATTCAACAACGAAAGAGATAACATGTATAATGACTTCAAATAATGATAATCAACAATGAAGAAATAGCATGTGACAATAAAAGAGGCAACAAGTTCAAATAGAGCATGAGAGAAAATTATCAATTAGGAGGTAGAGTAAGTGTAAAGAAAATCATTTAAGACATGTAAGGATAGACTAACACAAGTAACTATAGATTGACTAAGAGAATTAGGACATGATATGGCATTCAATTAAGCATGAAAATAGTCTAAGTAGCCTAAACTAGTCAAATACTACGCACAACCCGTGTACCCATTCGTCACCTTGCGTACACGGATTTCACTTAGCACAATTCAATCAACAATACCAATCCTATGGGGTAGTTCCCCCACACGAAGTTAGGCAAGACACTTACCTCAAGTAGGCCAAATCAACACTCAAAAATAGCTTTCCCCTTAATATTCTCCTCCACACTGCTCAAATCCAACCAAAATTGACTTAATATTATCAAACAATGCTAGGGAATTCAATTGCAATAGATAAAGCTAAAATCTTTATACTTTTTTAAAAAAGTCAACAAAAGTAAACCCGGGGCCCGCCCGGTCAAAACTCGGGTCCAATGGTAGATTTCGTCTACCTATAAATCCACGAGTTCATATATGTGATTAGTTTCAAAATTCGAGTCTAAATCGACTCTCAAACTCAATTTCTTATTTTTCAAAAATTTGACAAAGTTTCACAAATTTTCACTTTGATTCATATGATTTTGATGTAAATATCTAAGATATGTTGATGGAATATGATTAGAAATGGATTAGAATCACTTACCCAAGGTTTGTAGGTGAAAATCCCTTCTCCAAATCGTCTCCTACCGAGTCGAGGGTTCAAAAATGAGAGATGAGTTCAAAAATCCCGTCTCTCAGCCCTTTAACTAGCAGCAGATGTCGTATTTGCGACACAGGGTTCGCATTTGCTAACCCTAGCAATTGCGGACCAAGGCTTGCATTTGCGAATCGTGACAGACTCAGCATTCATTGCAATTGCGATAGAGTCTTCGCAATTGCGACTTGGAGGGTCCTCGCAAAAGCGAACATTTGTTCGCAATTGCGAATACTGTCCAATTTCTGTTGGCTTGGCAAATGCGAAGGGGAAGTCGCATTTGCGAAAACTGCTCCTCTTATGCTACCTTAGCAAATGCGACCCTAGTGTTCGCATTTGCGACACCAGAGTTTGCTATTTTTCAGTCCAAACCACTCTGGAACATGTCCGAAACTCATCCGAGCCCTCCGGGCTCCAAACCAAACATCCACACAAGTCTAAAAATATTATACGAAATCGCTCGCGCTATCAAAACACAAAAATAACATCTAAAACTACGAATCGAACACTAAAACGCATGAATTTCAAGAAAATTTTCAAGAACTTCTAGAATTACAACTAAACGTCTGAATCCTATCAAATCAACTCCAAACGATACCAAATTTTGCAGACAAGTTCTAAATACCATAACGGACCTATTCCATGTACCAAAATTAAATTTTGATCTCGATAGCTAAAAGTCAACCTACGGTCAAACCTTGCAACTTCAAATTCCCAAATTTCGGCAAATCAACATAAATCAACCTGCGGACTTCCAAAATCAATTTCGGGCATACGCCCAAGTCTGAAATCACGATACGAAACTATCAGAGCCACAAAAACACAGTTCGGGGTCATTTTCACAAAAGTCAAAGGTTGGTTAACATTTTTTAATTTAAATCAAAGGGTTCAAATCAACCCGAAAGCTTTCCGGAACAAAACTGACCGACCCCGCAAGTTATGTGTGAATCAATAAAAAGGGGTAACGGGCTGCAATTACACAAAACAACCGATCGGGTCGTTACACTCAAGTAACCTAGAAATATGTATTTAAGAGTACAAGAAGCTAACTTATCTTTTCGTGGGGTAGGTTATGGACAATATATATATACTCGTAAAGGCATGAGGTGAAAGAGAATAAAGGTAGGTGGAGAAAGAAATCAGAATATGAAACTTAATTCTAGATAGTCGTGGATGGCATACGATTGATAACATAACACGATGTGATAACTGTAGCCCCTAAAAAATATAACGAAATATGAGATTGTACGAGCAGAGTACGAGCAATCTCAATGAAAGAGTAAGATTAAGCTATACTATATTTACAGGATGCCAGAATATTCTAGAATATCTACGAGATTTTAAAAGTTTTAATCACTTATGAATCATTGTAAAAAGTAACTCAGTTATTTTACGTGATATTTTTTTTAGTCTACTTTAAAAGAATATCATTTTTTATATCAAAATAATTCTAGGTTTAAATTCTTTATTTTACATAGGGTCATGTCATGATATTTTTAAATCACAGTTCTAAGGTTATTCTGATAGGTGTAAGAAAAAATTATTTTCTAGCTCCAATCAAACACCATAATATGTACTGCTATATGAAATAGAAGGAGTATTCAAGTTGATCTTCTTTGCCCCTGTGTGCGCGCGTGCACTTCTTTCTACACACTATTCCCCACGCAGTTACGTGTTAGTTGACTTCTAAGTTCTATCAGATGACACAAAGTGACTAAGCCGCGTTAATGGAGAAAAAATAAACATAGAGGAAACAGAAACAGACAAGAACAGAAGATGAAAATGATAAGAAGGTACAAAAACAATTGAAAAAATAAAGAAGAAGGTACAAAGAGACATCAGCATATAAATCTTGTTTTGGCTTTTCACTTTCTTTTCTCTTTACTGTAGTGTAACTAACAAAAGCATTTTGTTCTAGTAAACCTTTAACCAAAAAGTTTGCATTTTGTTCAGATAAATTCTAGCCTAAAAAGATTGCCTTTCTTATCTTCTTTTTTTTTCTTTTGCTATCAAGAAATAGATGGGTATTCTTAATAAAATTGAGAACTAGCAAGTTGTTGCATTGCTTCAGTTATGGTCGATTTACTGGGGTCTAATTCACAGCTAAAACATTTTGAAGGTCATTGAATTTTCCTTACAAATTCTTGATTTATTTGATTATTTTCTTAGTTTCATTTTTCTAGTGAGGTGGGTGGGTGATTTTTTTTTCCAGGTGATAATGCTCTGTGTAGGGAAATATGGAGGGCATGTTCTGGTTCATTGTTGGATGTTCCCAAGCTTGGGGAGAGAGTTCACTACTTCCCCAGACTTCACATGGATCAGGTTCTTTTCTTTCTTTCTTTCTTTTTTTGGTAGTGTTAAATGATAGTAGTAACTGACAAGAGTGGGTTGCTCTAACGGTAAGCACCAAACACTCCCAACCAAGAGGTTGTGAGTTCGAGTCACCCCAATAGCAAGGTGGTGAGTTTGTGGAGGGAGGGAGTCGAGGGTCTATCGGAAAACAGCCTATTTATCCCAGGGTAGGGGTAAGGTATGCGTACACCTACCCTCCCCAGACCCTACTAGTGGGATTATACTGGATTGTTGTTGTTGTTGTAATCTCAGTTCCATTTAATACGACGTTGTTTCTTTTTAGTCTTTTCTAAAAAGAATGACGCATTTATGTAGTTGGAACTATTTACTAGTATAAACTTCTATAATTTGCAATCAATGATATGCTCTTATAGACATAGAAATGTCATTGTAAGTACGTATTAGAATGAAATGAATCACTAGGGCTAATAGATGTAGATTCATATTGTGGCTCCAACTGGTTTGGATTGAGGCACGACTGATTTAATGGTGTGGTTGCTAGAAAACTTGTTTTAAATTTATACACACCTCTTCCCCCTAACAAATTCCTACTTTTCTGGTCAGTTGGAGCAATCATCCAATCTGGAATGGATTCAAGGACTACAACTGTCCCATCTTCCCAGAAAGATCCTATGTCGTGTTCTTCACATTCGTCTTCTGGTATGCTTGACATTACTCTATCGTCCACCATTTTCTTTTCCTTTTTCAAATGCTTTACCTTCTAGTCCATAAATATTTAGAGGTGCTTCTTCTTGGGGGTTGCGAATGGACCCTATGAACTTTGCTTTTCATTAGGGGGTGGGCATGGATCTTATGAACTTGCTTGTTACTTTTAGGATTAATTAGGATCGCCAATCTCTTTTATCGGGGCGGCCCAACCCTAAAACAAGTGAAACACTTAGCGTTAGGCCCCAAATATTTAAGTTCCCCAAAAATACTAGTATTTCTTTATATATAGTAATATATTATTTATACAATTATCTTTTATTATTGATAAATTTATTTCTTTATTGTCATATTAATTTTTAATAACTCGATTTCTTCCTCTAATTAATATAACTAAAATAGTTTTCTGTCAATCTTATTTTACTTTTTTTACTTAATTATATTTCTCTATTCATTAGTTGGTCACGTAACTATATCTAATAATCTAACTTATTATTTATTTTTCTTACATAAATTATACTCTCTCCGTCCCAATTTATATGAAAGTGTTTGACTGGACATGTATTTTATGAAATAAAGGAAGGCTTTTGAAACTTGTAATCTTAAATAAATCATAGAAGTTTTTGGGCTAGAAATCATCTCATTAATGGTAAAAAGAAAAATCTAAAGTTGAATTGTTACCAAATATAGAAAGAGACTTACTAAAAAAAAGGAGTCACTTATGTTTTTTTGATTCTCCCATTTCAGTTGTGATGCAATCAACGTTAAATTCATTTAATTTTCTGTATTTTATAAAACTAAGTTCTCATTTTTTTTAATTCCACATCCTCACTTGTCTAATTTTTTAAAAATGATGTTCATTAAATTTTATATATATATATTAAGGCCTCTTATTAAGATTTTTCCGATGAGGTTGGGCCGCCCCTGCCTTTTATATAAGTCTCATTTTATTCTCTTTGAGAAGTCTTACTAAATTTGATTCTGGTGGAACAAAAAAATTGTTGAGTTGGGATAATTATTTAATGAAAATGACTATATCCTTATTTGCTTTTTGGCTTTTGCAAATCGCATAGACTAGTAAAATTGAGGTACCAAAATTTCTTTTTCTCTTCTCTGTTTTAGCATGTAGCATAGCAGCATAGTTTTCCAAGTAGTAGAGAACAAAACATAGTGAAAGAAATTAAACTTTCTTGGCTCTTTTTGTACTTAGCTTATTGGTCTAATCATACTGAGATTCATTTTTCATATTTCTAGGTGCCATTTCACGCATTTTGTCCTCAAGAATAGGAGCAGAATTAGGGAAATGAATCCTAACTCTAGATATTTAACTTATTTTTCATGCTCTTACAGGGGATAGTTGCACATAGCATGAAAAGTTTTATTCTTGCAACGACTAACCAATGCACAAAGAAACTAGTTCAAATATTTTTTCTGTTGTATCACAATATATAGACATTATTATGAACGGTCTTTGCTTAAAAGGAAGATCCGTGGAGCCATTTATTTACAGTAATTGTTTCTATATGCAGGTCGAACATGACACAGAAGAGGTCTATGCTGAAACTATATTGTTGCCAAATCAAGAAGTAACAACTTAATTTACTCGCTATTTGAAGTTTTTCTGGCATCACATATAAATTTTCAGCACGAAAATAACTATTTTGCAGCAAAATGAGCCATCAACTCCAGAGTTTTGTCCGCTTGAACCTCCAAGGCCCCAGTATCAGTCATTTTGCAAGGCTTTAACTACCTCTGATATAAAAAGTAACTGGGGATTGTCTGTGCACCGGAAAGATGCTAACAAATGCTTCCCTCCCCTGGTAATGCACTATACCTATTTCAATAGTTTTTCCTGTGTGTTCTCTTTGTACATTTCTTACATGAATAGTAAGTTATCTGGTTGACTAATTTTTATTTTCGGGGGCTGTTTTCGTCCATGATCAGGACATGATGCAAGAAAAACCAACCCAAGAATTGATAGTCAACGATCTTCAAGGCAATGAATGGCGCTTTAAGCATGTATTCCAAGGCAATTTCCTCCTCTCTTATGTTAATCAGATTTGAATATTGTGAGACTGAATTCTTTTCGTGTTATTCTACTATGCATAAGCATCATGACGAAGAATTGAACCTAGGAATATAGCTGCTATAGTAGGACGTAGCGTTTACTAGTGTTCACTATCAAACAATGTGAATGTTAAAAGGAAATCATTGTTGTATTTAATTTTCATTGAATCTGCTATACACCTTTGCCTAAACTAAATCACTTTAAGATGTTTCTACCTTTGATTCTCTTTTTTTAATTTTTAGCTTATATCCAAAGAACACTCTGAAATTAAGTGCATGATTTATATCTTGCTATTTTGTTCTCACCGTCTGAGTTAATTTCTCCATGAATAGGTCAACCTCGGAGGCATTTGCTCACAAATGGCTGGAGTACATTTGTTACTAGTAAGAAATTGCTTGCCGGGGATTTAGTTGTGTTCTTAAGGTACTTTCCCTATGGGCGTTACTGTTGTGCTGCATGTCCTGCAATTATATTATCTTGGAGCATCTTTATTGTTTCCTTCCTAATTTGGTTTCTTTCCCTCTTATTTTCATCAAGGGATGAAACTGGCAAACTACATGTCGGGATTAGGCGTTTATCTTATCAATGCAACTCCGTCGGATCATCAACATTTTCAAGGCAAAGCATGGAAGGGGTTCTTGCAGTTGCTTCCCATGCCTTTGCAACCCGAAGTCTCTTTTCTGTCTACTACAAGCCATGCTACAATAGGTAAAATTTGTGAACTAAAATGAAGTTTGCAATGAGAACTTCGCAATCATATTTACATAGATATGCTTTTGGTTGAATGTTACAGATCAAGTCAATTTATTATGAGCTTGAGCAACTATTTTGAAGGTGGAAACCATGGGCCTGGAGTTGGCACGATATCTAGAACGCAACACAGCAGTTTGGATTCTCATGTGAAAAGGTTGTGGAACATTGAGTTCCTAATTAGATACTAGTCTTTGATAGAAAAAAATTATGTACATTGATTTGTTTTTTCGATATGCAGAACAAGTGGTATGGACCAGATGTCATTTCCTCAGGGTCAACACAAGACAAATCTTTTGCTCGAGGAGGATCAATATATGCAAGACTCAGAAGCAATATCCAATTCTGCTCGACCTACTATGATGGCTTTGGAGATCGGACAACAGTCAGTTGAATCGCTTAACAATATCCATCATATAGAGGACAGTGTACTGCAACCGCATACAGCAGTTGCAAGGGAGAATAACGAGAGATTTATTCCGAACGAAACTGTGGCCATTCAAGCTCAAGATGAGAACTTTGATGAGTTATTCAAAGAAACTGACTTTCCAGACTTTGTAAACACTAGTCTTGATACTATAACTTTGGATTGGGATAGTGATCTCCGGTCCACTATACAAGGTAATATTTATATCATAAAATGACTCATACTCCAAACTAGAATTGCAAGTTTTTGGTCTGTCCATTTTCATTTTAAGAAGCTAAATTTTCTCCTTGTAGATTTTGATGAATGGCTTGAAGAAACTAATCCTCCGGGTCTGCAGACTTGTTCAGAAGATCACTCGAGACAGACCTCTTCCATATTAGAGCAACCAACATCCTCCCAAGTGATGTCTATATCTTCTACCCCAAGTCGAATTCCCTATGAAGGACCTGGTCGTGGTGACGAGCAAGTTCCTTGGGGAAGCTATCAAGTAGCACGACGATGTTTACCAATACTCAATAGGGTTGTATCGCGGTACCCTGATTCACTCGTGAACTTCAAGGTTACAAGTAGCATATTTCAGTCAGTGTGTTTGGAAATATTGGCAGAATTAGTCTACTTTCTTGATAATCTTACAGTAATGAACTTGTCCAAGGATCAGTTCAATGTTGCTGGGCAACATCTCTGGGACTTAAAGTTAAGTGGCATTGAATTAGGATGGCTTGAAAAGCGTTTAGCACATATCGATGGAGCATTTAGTATGGAAAATTTACTGCAACGGCGACAAGTAGTCACACTTAGAATGGGGGACACTTTAGCTACGTTTAGGCAGTTGGATGAGGAGCTTGGATGTATAAACAAGGAGCTTCACCAACTATCTCTAAAGGTTGGACCAAATCCCCCCATGAGATTCCACCCTGTTTTGGAAGGTCTGTTGTAGCTTTCAGTAAATTTATCCTCTTTCTATTTGACTGCATGGTAAGGAGAAATTAATATCCCAACACAGTGCGCGCCTCATGTAGATTTTCATTATCTTACGTCAAAATTGATCGGGTATGTCCTCCATTTCTTTCCCAAATTTTTTAGAACCCTTGTTTTCAAATTGGCGAGACCTATTAGTAAACGAGAGATTTTATCCGTTAAAATTCTCATAGACGTTTGGTTTAGAACTGGAAGTGCACCACTTTATCAAAATTGTGGACTATGAGTGCTCCATGAGGAAAAAGTAGGATCGTTCCGAGACTAAGTCCAAAGATAATGGACTATTTTGGGCTTTTTCTGGCATGATAATAGCTTTATTAGTGCATAATGAGCTCTAGGAGTTGTCTTTAAATTTGTGACATTGTTGTGTTCTGTTGCAAATTCTTGACTTCTTGTATACTAAGGCGTAAATTTCTCCTTTTATGATAAGTATAACGAGGCATTTGCATATATACTCATATTTTGGGGTCACCATTGAATTTATACCCGCATTGCACAAAACTTTGCAAAGTGTATTCTCTCGGATCTGAATTAGTTCAATCACTTCAATGCAACTTCAGAAATCAAATATGAAGTTCTCCTATTTTCAACTGCAATTTCAGAAATTCAAATCTTAATTAATTCAAGCTCTTCAAAGCAACTTAAGATTTTGAATCTGAAGTTCTTATCCTTCAATTACAACTTCAGATTCAAAATCTGAAATCTTATTAGGACCCGTTTGGCCATAGATTTTGTCAAAATAAATTTGAATTTTATTTGGCAAACACATGTTTAGCCATAGATTTTGCCTACATTTTGGCAAAATTTCAAGTCCCAAAATCAGCTCAATAGCTAGTTTTGGGCCAAAATATCACTATTATATTTTTTAAAAATTATCCCAAACTTTTGTATTTTATAAAAGAGCCCACCATTTATTATTTTGTAACAATGTTGCTTCGTTTTCTTGGTCACCTGATAATGTATCATGTAGTTCATTATAAAAATGATAATTGTGTATCAAATTTATTTATGTGCAGGACTATGGTTTGCGATAAGATAATGAATGTTATTGATAATGATACTGTTGGGTATTTGTGATAGTTTTTAGAACTTGTGGGTATAAGTCATGTTTCATGTTTTTCCAAAATAAATTTGAAAAATATGTTTTGAAAACTGATGTCCAAACACATTTTCATCTTCAAACCAAACTTCACCACCCAAATCAGATTTTTTAGAACAAATTTGGGAATCTATGGTCAAACGCTAGCTAATTAGTTCAATTTTATATAACTTCAGAAACTTCAGATTTTTGAAACATAAACTTGTTCTTTGAATTTCAACACCCAAATCTACTCCAATTGAGCTCAAATTTGAAACATAACTTTCCAATATCATAGACAACGAATCTCAATCATCAAATTGTTAAAACAATAACAAATTTAACAAACTCATTTTGCAATTAAGAAGAATATAGTATGCAATCTGAAGTTACTGAAAAATTGGGTGCCACATGAAAATTTTAAGTTCATCTATAAATAAATTCAGCCCATTTTTTCTTTAATAAACAATACTTGCTTAATTCAAACAATTTAACGCTAGGCAAATATTAAGGACGTTTGAAATATTAACCAAGTGTTTCTACCTGATCCTTGGTCAATATAAATTAATAAAAATGGTTATGTGAGCAGTCTCGCTCCTTGATTCTTAAATAATAAATCATGCTCTTCAATAATTAATCGTGTGTACTAACACGTTCCTTGGTTTAATACATCTAAGCAAATAAAGGTCTTGTGTGCTCACATACTCCTAGGTCAATATAATTAATAAAATTCGATAATTAGTAAGGCAATAGACAATAATAATTTAAGGTAAATATAAGCCAAATTTTAGTCAATAAAAGCGATCATACTAGAACCACGAGATTCGGAAAGTGCCTCACACCTTCTCCTCGATCAATAGAATCCCTTACCCAGTCTCCTATTTTTGCGGACAAATAATCATAGAGTCAAAATTTCCTCTGACTACCGATTTAAAAAAAAAAAGTGACTTGAAACACCAACAATACATTTCAAGTGATGACTATGTAAATAAAATAATTCCTGCTGAAAAATCTTTTTAACTCTTTAACTCCCATCACCACAACATATATCTTTTGCAGGGGTGGTAAAAAGGGGGGCGACAAAAAGAAGAATGGTTAATGTAGAATTATTAACGTTTAATATGCAATTAAGGCATTCAATCTAGAGTTCAAAAAATTCGAAATTTTTGCACTCCGTAGCATCTAAATGACCACAAGTGCAGTCAACTGATATATGTTCACTTTGTTATTCTTATAATCAACATGTTTCATAGTCAAAATCCTTAGAAAACTAGAGTTGTGGCGTCAATGTAAAATATCCATTTTAGAAGTTTAAGGCAAGAGATCATCATTCAAAATAGCATTACTTGCATCTGTGGAAGAATAATGTACGATTGGGGGGGGGGGGGGGGGGGTGTTCATGCAACCAAGAAGATAAAGGTACACATTGGCCAGCAATTTTCATCCATCCATGAAAATGTTTAATCCTACTAAAAGTTCTTGATTGGAAATACTTTTTATCACAAAATCTCGTGCTAAATGAAACTCGACAACTATCTCAGTAAGTATTTCATCAAACCAGCCGCTGGTAAATCAATTGCCCTGATCAGAGTGTAAAAGTATACACATCTTTGTTGAGGATCAGAATGTGTGTCACCAATTAGCACCACCTTCTGAATCGTGGGACTGGTAAAAGTCATTCGGTCTCACAATATTTACATCCTCAAATGCATTGTCATCTAAAAGCAGGAAATATGCAGAGTCATAATGAGAAAAGTTCGACTAAAATGCATATCATAAAGCCAAGTATAATATAAAATCAAATGCAAATGTTCACAAATTAAAATGCTCTGGGAGGACATGGAGATCACAACCAAAAAGCTAAATAAATTCCACCTCAAAAACACCATAGGAATCAAAAGCACAACTGGTTTACCTTTTAAAATGTCTTGTAATTTTGGACATGCTAGACTGCATGAGTACTTGCATCGCCACTAAATTTCAATATCATTTAAGTATTTGACTAGATAGAAGTTCAAATAATTTGAGTACCAATATAGGATCAAGTCCTAATAAGAACCCAATTCTGGAGAACAAAAATTTCCTTTTTCATTCCACCCTTCTTCCTCCCATTCTTAATTGTCTCTTCTAAATATATAAACTATGTAAAGACGAAATCTCTCCCAATGTCTCCGCTATATTGTCATAGTATTGATAATACACCATATTTTTCTGTCACTTCTTCAAACCATATGATATGTTCTTTTCCCTGAACCCTGAATTTCCTCAGTCTATATTGTCCAGCTTTCAGTCTTCCCTACCTCTCTCTGCATTTCCTTTCTCCTTCTCAGCAAAAATAATACCAATCAGCTACGAAATGGAAACATTGCTAGGAATAACTGGTCTCACTGGAAATTGAAAGAAAAGTATCATCCATGTTATCATGAACCTTGATTGAGCCGAACTCAATCATTAGATGCTGTTTCTAGATTTAGTTGTGATTGTTCTCAGCTTTATTATCTTCATTTCTTGATATTATGCACAAGTGTCATTTGTTTAATTCATGATTGTCATGGATTTCAACACATTTCTGTGGTATATCTTCCAAAATCAATACCTATCAGCTTTTGTAGCTAATTTCCCTAGGATTTTTCTAAGGTGATTCTTGAGTACGGCCTTCTAATCAACATAAGAAATCAGTGCCACCAAAGACTAGAAGACAAGACAGCCAATGATTACTTGTTCGATAGAAAAGGTGCGGTCACTGTGAGCATTTCTTAGTTAAGTAAGCCAGTCAAGAACAAACAAATGGACTTATGAAACAGAATTATCAGCTAATAAACTATAGAAATTTCCACTAAAACTGGAAAAGAAAAATGCAAAGGGAAGATAACCTTTTCTCAGAGTCAGTGCCACCACAGCATCATTTTCAACCTGAAAAGTGTTCAAAAGCATTAAAAAAAATAACAAAACCTCCATAAGCTTAGATTAAATAAAGAAGTATGGAATTATTTGCTTGAGAAAAATATTTCATGGACTTCTTTCTTGCTATCAGTATATACTCATATGACTCTCCATCACATTCCAGATGTCATATTTTGATCCAGTATATGTATTAAAGTAAGAATTTTTCTTAACCTAAAATAGATGCAGGTTGAGGCTATTCCTCAAACGTACATAGTTGTTCTCTATTCCATCAACAGGTTGATCCCTTAAAAGGGCTCCCATATCTCGTTTTCAGTTAATATGATAATTAAAAAGAGTATTGAAGAAGTCTAAAGGGAAAAAATTCCTTTTCAAGAATGTGGACACCAGTTTTAGAACAACCTAAAAGGGAAAGTTGGACAGATCATTGGTAATAGGAGTAGAATATGTATCTGTATGTCTACAATCAATAAAAATAGACTGAAAATCTGCTGATTATCCAAAGTACTACTCCATATGATATAATATTTTCTAGTTGTACCAATAGATCATAATATATGTTGAAAAACGATGATGATAAAGATGGACAATTTACCTTCTGATCAGCTAGGGACTTCGAGTCTTCCAACACGTCTCCAGCAGGCATCAAGATTAATCGCTGATCATTAACTGGTTGATCTATGAGGTTATACAATTTCTCCTTTATTTGTAGAATTGTCTCGGTTGGGTCACATTGAATAAAGTAGGTGGTCCTATTACGCTTGACACGGATATACATTGCCTGCATAGACAGAAGAATTTACAACAACAACAACAACACACCCTGTATGTTCCCACATGTGGGGTTTGGGGAGGTTAGTGTGTACGCTGACCTTAGCCCTACCTAGTGAAGGTAGAGAAGTTGTTTCCAATAGACCCTCGGCTCAGAAAAGCATGGAGGAGAAGAAGAAGAAGAAGAGGAGGAGGAGGAAAAGGCAGAGGAGGAGGAGGAAGGAGATGAAGAAGAAGAAAAA